AGCCATTGTGAATTGTCAAGCAGCCCCAGAACTGGATGAAAAGCCGCTGTATGGGGATTCCCTCCTGGCCTATTGCTTCTGTTCCTCTTGGCTCCCCAGTGACCAAACACAGGGGAAAGGTGAAAACAGCAAAAGAACCACCTTACATAGGAGCTGCAAATACCCAAGTCAGTCCACTGGCTGGTGGGTAGGTTGGAACCTGTACAGGCAGGGCTGGGCTGGACTGACCTTCAGGGCCAGAGATGCTGGGACCATTTACAATTCCACTCCCCTTCAGAGCCTCTTTGGGAATGGGGACTGGCTCCTTTCCAGGGAGTCTGACTGCCAGGCCCGTAGCTAACATGGGGCCCACGGGGCCCGGCCCCCTTGTGTTCCTTCTGGGCCCCCTCCCTCCAGGGCTGCCCCCAAAGTGCTCCAACTTACCACCTGCACTGTACTTCCATTTAATTAGCTGGCGGGCCCCCCCAAGGCCCCCTCCCAAAGAATTCCCTAGCTACGGGGCTGAGGTACAGACAGGTGGCAGGGAAGGCAAATGGGGTGGGGTCCACGGCAGCTGCCCCACCTCAGGGTATGCCAACTCTGCCCCTGTCAATGTAGCCCACCCCGAGCCTACAGGCGGAGCGTGAGCTGCCTTTCTAAATAAAACTGCCCCTCCGCTTTCCAGCAATACTATTTCTATGTGGCCAGCAACAGGAACTCTTCAGGGGGCGTCTATGTCAACATGGCCAACTATGTCAAGGTCTACAACATTGTAGCGAGCAATGCGCTGCCAGAGACGATCTACCTGGACAGGAACAGCATCTACAACTTCTCTGTGTTCTTCAGCATCAGGACGAAAGAACAGAGCCGTAAGTAACGGGGTGGGGGGCACTGACGAGAGAAGGCCGCAGAAACATCACACAACTAATGCGGGAATGGTGATAGGCTAGGGGCAACAGAAGCTCGTTTTTTAGATATGAGAGCAAATTGCAGAAAACCCACCCCGCATGGGATCAGGGCCCTCCAAGAGGAACTCACCCAGCAGGGATCTTCTCAACAGCCCTCCGAGGTAGGCCGGTCTGGTTTGATGTAGTGGGTAGGAGCGTGGACTCTAATCTGGGAGAACCGGGTTTGATCCCCCACTCCTCCACATGCAGCTGCTGGTGAGACCTTGGGTCAGTCACAAGTTCTCTCAGAGCTGTTCCCTCAAGGGCAGTCCTCGAAAGAGCTCTCTCAGCCCCACCTACCTCACAGGATGTCTGTTGCGGGGAGGGGAAGGAAAAGGAGACTGTAAGCCGCTCTGAGACTTCGAGTGAAGGGCGGGGTATAAATCCAATCTCTTCTCTCTTCTTCATTAACCCTTCCAGTTCTCCAAGAGAAATCCTTCCTCTCTCAAACTGTTATTAAATCTGGTGTGCAGGGGGGAAGGGGTGCCATAGGAATGTGGCATTTCTTTTTTGTTCTCTCACAGGCCATAAGATAGATTTGTTGTATTTACTTAAGCATGGATACCCTGCTTTTTCTCCCGCATCTTGGGGCTCAGAGAGGTTTGCAAAGCGCAGTTTAAACAAACAAAACAAAAAGCATATTGACGGTGGTTCTCCAGCATCAAAGACTCACACCTCCAGCCTCTCCCAGGCTTAACCATCTTCAACGAAGGAGGGGCAGCAGTGCAAGCAGCAAAGAGACGTTCCTGTCATTCCTCCAGAGCTAGAACGGTCTCTGTCCACCCCCAGGATTAAACACCTGTAACAGGGGAGGCAAAGGAGCTCAGGCTGGATCGCACGGTGGCGGCAAAGAGATGTTCCTAATGTTCATCCATTGCTAGAACTGTCTGGCCAAGCCTGGGCTTAAATACCTGGAACAGACCCAAGGACAGAAGCTCGGTCTGGATCCCGTTCTGCCGACAAAGAGATGTTCATTGCCGTGGCTTCTCTGCAGTCCCAAATGGGACTGCGCAGTTGCAGGCCAGCCACGGAAAAGATTCCCAAGCTTTCAAATAGACTAGGAGCGCCCCTCCTCCCTCTGGCGCTTTCCCGCCAAAACACTCAGCTAAACATTAGGAAGAACTTCTTGACAGCTGGAGCAGTTCCTCAGTGGAACAAGCTCCCTCGGGAGGTGGTGGGCTCTCCTTCTTTGGGGGCTTTCAGACAGAGGCTCGATGGCCATCGGACAGCCATGCTGATTCTGTGAATTCAGGCAGATCACGAGAAGGGGGGGGGGCAGGAAGGTTTGCATCAGTGCCTAGTTCTCGTGGCCCTTTTTTACATGCCCAGGGAAATGCTGGTTGCCACTTTGGGGTCAGGAAGCAATCCTGGAGGCTTTTTTTTGGTCATCTTCTGGGCGTGGAACAGTGGTCACCGTGGATGTGGAGAGGGAGGTATTTGTGAATTTCCCGCACTGTGAAAGGGGCTGGACTAGATGACCCCGGAGGTCCCTTCCCACTCTATGATTCTGTGATTTCTCTCTGGGAAAAGGAGCGTGGGAAGGATGCACGGCAGCCTAGATCTGAATCCCCCCACCCCGTTGGTTGGGTGATCCGATTCTGGATTCATTACATCGTGTGTATTTTGGCCCTAAATCAAGGGGGTTTGGTTTACACGGAAGACTAGATTGCAAGGGAACCCCCCACTTCACCACCCCAGGCAGTTTCCAGATGTTCACTCTGGTGTGGCCGGCCAGAATGCGAAAAGCTCTAAATGATGTGCGCGCGCGTGTGCCACGGCTCTCAGACCGATCTGTTGTCTCTTTGGCTTTTGCAGTGGGGGAGTCAGCGGAAGAAAACTCCCTCGATTACGTGTGGCTGACCATCATTGTAGCCCATCCCGAGTACGTGAACGTGTTCATGGACAGGAAGGAACTGATCAGCCGAGGGTCCGTGTTGTATAAGGTGAGGGTGCCTTTCGGGACCCCAAACACGGGCGTTCCCGGGTTGCGACTCTGAGCCGCAGGCAGCATGGAAGGGACAGCAGGATGGGGCATCAAAAGCATGCATCCCCGGGATGCGGGGAGGGGTGTGTGGAATCTAGCGATTGCGTGCACAAGACCCAGATGTGAAAACCCGGGCAGGTGAGGTTTTTGCAACCTTCCCAGGTCAGAGGAGTGTACTTATGAAAGGACACAGCTGCCCCATTGGCTCCAGGGGCCGCCCGTCAAAACAAAACAGAATGGAGCGGAACAGGAAGTTATCCCGGAGTGAGCGGGCGAGCATTCCGCTTCCTGGTTCTCTCAAAGCACTGCGCCTTCCCCGTGGGGGAGAGGGAGCTCCCTGCACGTGGGGAAAGCGGTGGAGTTTCGTTCCGCCGAATATTTCAGTTGCCTGGCAGGCTCGTACTAGTCCACTAACGTCGATCCCAAAGCAAGGCCCGAAGGGAGTTTACGGCTCTGCCAGAGACTCAGGTTTCAGATGCTGATACTGTGACGCTTTCAAGAGGCTCCCCGGGTTCCTTCCTTGCGCCTCACTGGGGAAAGGAGAGGCCCCTTCCAGGCTGGAGATTGGAACTTCTTGTGGGGAGGCCTGGCTTCTCCCTCTAGACACCCGGATTCGCTCTCTGGTTTTGCGAAGGGGAACTTCTCTACTGCTGTAGATTTCTGGGCGAGCATTCCGCTTCCTGGTTCTCTCAAAGCACTGCGCCTTCCCCGTGGGGGAGAGGGAGCTCCCTGCACGTAGGAAAAGCGGTGGAGTTTCATTCTGCTGGATATTTTGGTTGTCTGGCAGGCTCGTACTAGTCTGCTAATGTCGGTCCCAAAGCAAGGCCCGAAGGGAGTTTACGGCTCTGCCAGAGACTCAGGTTTCAGATGCTGATACTGTGACGCTTTCAAGAGGCTCCCCGGGTTCCTTCCTTGCGCCTCACTGGGGAAAGGAGAGGCCCCTTCCAGGCTGGAGATTGGAAACTTCTTGTGGGGAGGCCTGGCTTCTCCCACTAGAAGCCCGGATTTGCTCTCTGGTTTTGCGAAGGGGGACTTCTCTACTGCTGTAGATTTCTGGGGCTCTGCTAGGCAAGCAGAATGAGCTGAATTTCCCCCCCTGTCAGGGTTCTTAAAGAACGGGAGTCCTCTGGAGAGCCTGCCCCCACTCGGACGGCAACCGAGGGGCAAGAGCCACCTGTCCACATCTGTTCTAGATCATCACTGAACAACTTGTTCTTTTCATCCCCAAACAAAAAAAAAAACTAACAGGTGACGGTTATGGACACTGGCATCTACCCAAGACAGGACCTCAGCGGGAAGAAGCTTCTGAGGAGTTCAATGATCTTTAGTGTAAGATGTTTGGATCAGCAGTTCTGGGGAGTGGTTCTGGCATGGGGCCTTCTTGCTTCCAGACCCCGCTTGCCCCGCGCTGCTTCCTCAAGTCTGCCGCGTCAAGCTGGGACCTCCCTCCCCGCTGCCCCGTGTTAGTCTGTAGCCCGTAAATTGTTTTCCCACGAAGGAAAGGGGGCCTTTCTCTTCATGGACATTGTGCTTCACCTTCCCAGGTTGCAAATGCAGTGACCAGGTGTTACGATCACAGTCCCATCGGACCAGTAATAAAGGTAACAATTAGACCTCTTTGGGGAAGGAACCATCCCCAACCTCGACTCTGTCAGAGAGTTCAAGTTAGCTACTTGGTGTCTCATCCTGTACCCCACCCAGGCACTGACTAGACCCCAGACCAGGGGTCATTTCGTAGAAAAAGAGCTGCAGGAGCTCATTAGCATATCTAATAGCCTATTAGCACAATAGCTCATTAGCATATGCCACACCCCGTGATGTCACCGGAAGTGATGTCAGAAGGGGAAGCAAAAAGGGGGGAGGCATCTTCAAAAGCCTCCCCTTCCCTGCCAAGGCGGGCTGGGGGGGGGGGAAGCGAAGAGAGAAGGGGTTTAAAGACTCTCTGGAGTCGCGCTGCACTGGCAGCGCAATCTTTCCATTATATTCTATGGGGCCATTCTGGCACGACTCTAGAAAGAAGGGGCATGGGGGTGGGGAGCTGGGGGCGGGGCTTGCCACCACCGCCATTTGTGCCCGCTCCTGGGCTGCCAGAGTGGTGCTCCAGTGCACTCTGGCCCCAAACAACCTCTGCCCCAGCTCTCGTTGGCTGTGCCTGGTGTGCGCTTTTCAGAGTATAGCCGGCGTGATTAAGACACGTGGCGTGAACATTTAAAAACAAACAAAAACATATGCAGTGAAGCTGAGAATAATTGAATTCTCCCCAACGCTGGCCTTTTCCACACTCTTCATTTTCCTTGCTTGTAAGTTTCGGTTTCTTCCAGGCTAGGGGTGGGGGGTGGGTTCTGTTCTGCATGTGTTTTGTTCTGTGTAGCAGTCTAGAACATTGGTTTATGACTGGCATAAAAGCCCGCAGTTTAAATCTGCAGGTTTTTACGTTGGACGTAAGCCGACGTAATATTGAATCGACCACTAGAGGGAGCAAATCGTGTGCGGAACGGGGGGGGGGGGAATATGCCCGTGTGCGGAACAGGGGGGGGGGATATGCCTGAAGAAACAGGAACTTAAACAGTATCTACACAAACACACATAGGTTTTTTAATATTGTGTATTTAATAAACATTTTATTTAATATTTATAATAACTGATAACAATGTACATTAATGGAATAACAGTTTTTAACATCTCACGTTGACCTGGATGGCCCCGGCTAGCTTTATCTCATCAGATCTCAGAAGTTAAGCGAGGTCACCCCTGGCTAGTATGTGGATGGGAACCAAGGAAACCCATGGTCGCTAGGCAGAGGCAGGCCATGGCAAACCGCCTCTGAACATCTCTTGACTTGTAAACCCTACTGGGTCGACATAAATCAGCTGCGACTTAACGGGGGAAACACCCCCTCCCCGTCTTAATTTTCTAATCACATCCCCAAACGATGCTACTGATAACACCGGTTTACTGATTTGTGATACACCGTTCCCTCTTTTTATTTTTGGTATTCCGACGTAACTCACTAACGCTAGTCACCCCCCCAAAAAAGAAAGTGCGTGGCGTTTGTCTTTGTGGTTGCCGGGCAGTATGGAGCCCCCAAATTGACAGGTCTGTTCTGAATTCTAGGAGCCCGTTCCACTACGTTTTGGCTTCCAGCATGAGCTGTGGTCCTCAAGGAGCACGAACGGATGACCTTCTCGGTCCATACCTGAGTACCGCTGTCCGCCGTCCCCGCATTTCCTCCTCCCGCTATCCAAGGCTTGCCCACTTGTACCTCCACCACCCCCACCCCCGGCCAGGGGCGGATTAACCATTAAGGGGACTAAGCACCTGCTTAGGGTACCAGGGCCAAAGGGGGTCACTACAAAGTTGGGGAAAGGGTGAAAAGAAAAACGAATGAAGATTTGTAAAAAAATTTTTTGATAAAACTAGTGCAAATTGAACATGGTGCACCCTAGGGTTATCTTCTATTTTTTGTGGGCGAGGTACAGTGTCATTTGTTGTTGTTGTTCAGTTGCACAGTCGAGTCAGACTCTCCGCGGCCCCATGGATCAGCTCCCGCCAGGCCTTCCGGTTTTCCGCCATCCTCTGAAGTAGGCTCAATTTCATGTTCATTGCATCTATGACACTGTCTAACCATCTCACCCTTTGCCGTCCCCGTCTTCTTTGACCTTCAATCTTTCCCAGCATCAGGGTCTTCTCCAGTGAGTGCTCCCTTCTCATTTGGTGGCCAAAGTATTTGAGCTTCAGTTTCATTATCTGGCCTTCCAGGGAACAGTCAGGGTTGATTTCTTTTAGGATTGACTGATTTGATCTTCTTGCAGTCCAAGGGACTCTCAAGAGTCTTCTCCAGCACCATAGTTCAAAAGAATCTATTCTTCGGCGCTCGGCCTTCCTTATAGTCCAACTCTCGCAGCCATACATGACTACTGAAAGACTATTGAAAGAGGTAGTTCTCGAGAGAGCTCTCTCAGCCCCGCCCACCTCACCGGATGTCTGTCGTCGGGAGGGGAAGGGAAAAGGAGATGGTAAGCCGCTCTGAGACGCCTTCGGGTAGTGAAGGGCGGGGTATCAATCCAATCTCTCTTCAATCTCTTCTCCTCTGCTCTTTCTCTCCCCCAACCATTCTCTCTCGGTCCCTTGACTCTTCCTTGGCACTCAAACCCAGTCCGGTGTCTCTTTCCGTCCCCCCCACCCCCAGGGCTACCGTGTGCTGCCTGTCATTATCGGTTGCCCCCCAGGCAGGAGGCTGGCCTTTGACATCACAGGAACTTTGCAGTACAGCATCAGGAAGAACAAGCGCTACTTCGACTGCGTCAACCCGGATCCTGAGATGCCATGTTTCTTCTTCAGTGATGGTGAGAGAGAAGGTGGCAGGATAGGCTGTGCTTGGCCGGGCAATTCTGGAAATCTGAGGGTCACTGAGCGGGATTCGAGTGCATGCAGCTGAGCTGGGAGTTCTTTCCCATGTCCCGCAGTCAAAGTGAGTGACCACGCCACCAAGGAGGGAGGAAGCAGCAGTGGCCGTACACCCCGGCTCAATTCACGGAAGTTCTCTGCTTTAGCCGTGAATATCTCAACACGAGCAGGTCTTTTTTTGGAATGCGGCTGTCAGTCTGGAGGGGGTGAATTGACCCTTGGGTGTTCAATGGCATTATTTGTAGCAGGATTCCCGTGGACACTGCAGCATTTGGGGAAGGGATAGGCTGTGCTTGGCCGGGCAATTCTGGAAATCTGAGGGTCACTGAGCGGGATTCGAGTGCATGCAGCTGAGCTGGGAGTTCTTTCCCATGTCCCTGGATTAGGGCAGTCAAAGTGAGTGACCACGCCACCGAGGAGGGAGGAAGAAGCAGTGGCCGTAGACCCCGGCTCAATTCACGGCAGTTCTCTGCTTCAGCCGTGAAAATCTCAACGGGAGTCTATTGTGGGGAGGGGAAGGAGATTGTAAGCCGCTCTGAGACTCCTTTGGTTAGTGAAGGGTGGGGCATAAATCAAATCTCCTCTTCTGAAATATGAATTAAAAAGGACGGCCCTGAGGAGCAGCCAGTTCTTAATCCCTCGTGGTCCGGGGGTGGGGGTGTTATGGGACAGAAGGGGTGGCCCACCTATGGTATGAAGGGACACCTCTATAAAAGGCCATAAACATTAGCAATCTTTGCAGCAGCCTTAGTGGTTCTTTGGAGAAAACATGGGGCTAGAAGCCCAGTGGATCCAGTCAGTGGCAGGCAACTGCGCAGTCAGCACCACCAAGAATTTGCGTCGGGTTCCGGCCGACTGCAACGGGGTCGGGGACAGGGACGCCCGAGCCGAAGTCCCGCTTGCTCCACGCAGGGACCACGATGGTGTCGGGCCCTGGTGCCAACGGATGCACTTGCTTTGTTTGCAGTGTTCTACCCTTCCTTTTTGATCCAAGACATGGTGACGGGAGACTCGGGCCCATTCAAGGGAAGGTAAGGGCCGAGCGGGTTTTTTTAGTAGGGCTGAGCCGGGGAGCCAGTGGGGGACACAAGGGATTCGGGGTCCTCCCGAGGGGAAAGGCGGAGGAAGTTGGAGGAAGTCACCAACAGGACCAAGGTCTCACCTGGCCCGGGGCATTGGCACTGGTGGGCTTCCAGGCTCGGGTGACAGTCAGTAGGCCCAGCGGTCTCGTGACATCCCAGGCGGCCTACACTGGCCAATCGGGGGAAGGCCGGAACAGTGCAGGAGTGGAGAGTGGAGATACGATCCTAGACAGTGCTCCCTCTAAGTCTCGTGAGCAAAAATTCTGCTTTGCGAACTACTCCCATTAAAGTTGCGAGGGAGCGATTTGGCCGCTGCATCAATTAGTTTGCTCGGGAGCTGTCCTTCCTGGGCTAAGACCAGGGGTCATTTCCTGCAGGAGCGCACAGGAGCGGAGCTCCGGCAGTAAAGAGCCGAGGGGGCGGGCACATGCAACCAGCCCCACCCCCTTCTGCCACGAGCCCTCAGTCAGAGCAAGAAGCAGCCAGGTAAGTTGCAGAGCCCCCCCGGCCCCCCGGTCCAAAAACAGTCCAGTGGCACCTTTAAGACCAAGTTTTATTCAGGTACAAGCTCTCCCTCCTCTGTGAGGACAGATCTGCACGTCCCCCCCCCAATAGCTAGCAATCCAAAACAGTCCAGTGGAGCCTGAGCGGTGGGTGTTGCCTTCTGACACACTTCCGGTGACGTCATATGCAAATAAGTTATGCTAATAAGTCATGCTAATGAGCTCCTGCACCTCTTTTTCTACGAAATGACCCCTGGCTAAAACGAAAATGTGTGAGCCGGAGGCTAAAAAACTGCGAGCTAGCTCGCACTAACTCAGCTGAGAGGGAGCACTGGTCCTAGCAACTTGGCTTGGTAGTGCTCGGGTGGCAGGGGAAGGTGGAGGCAGTCAGGTCTCCGCCAGGACCGTGGCCTCCCCTAGTCCAGGATATTCACCCAGGTAGGCTTCCAGGCCAGCGTGAAGGCCAGTCGGGAAGCCCACTTGTCTCCTGACATCCCAGGCACGATCCAATCAGAGGATGCCCAGGTTGTCATGTGATGACAACATCAGAAGGTGGACCAAGGAAAATACCACTGCTGGAACAAACACAGGGAGTGGGGGGGTTGTCATTCTGTGGCCTGTCTTCAGACAGAACCGGTAGCCGTGGGACTTCCATTTAAATTTGGCCCGGCCCAGAGATTTAACCTTCAGAGAGCTACTTCCTCCAGACTTTTTTCAATTTCTCACGCCTGTTGGCAACCCAATCCGTTGCTGCCAGGCGTGCTGTTTCTCGGCCTCCCCCTCCAGGTTAGAACCAATCAGGGATCACACAGCGAGTGTCGCAAGGTCACAGAGCAGCGTAGCCAATCAGATCATGGAAGGCGGAAGGCCAACGGAGTTAATTCAAGAGGAAGGCTGGGCCTCCTGCCCCAGTTGGAGTGGGTGGAGTTACAGTGTTCCCTCTAAGCTGAGTGAGTGTGAGCTAGCTCACAGTTTTGCAGCCTCCGGCTCACACATTTCTGTCTTGGCTCAGGAAGGAGGGCTCCAGAGCAAACGGATTGGTGCAGCAGCCAGATCGCCCGTTCACAGCTTTAATGCCGGCAGCTCACAAAGTAGAATTTTTGCTCACAGGACTCCACAGCTTAGAGGGGAACCAGACCTGCAACAGGACCTAAATGTGATGCATGTTCGCTACCCAAGAACTTTAGAAATCTAAAATCTTGGCCAGCATTACTGTTGCCCCTTACTTATTTAACATTACCTATGAGCCCTGTTAGGGCCGCAGTGGCTCAAGTGGTTAAGACGCTGAACTGCAGACCGGGAGGTCGGTAGTTCGGCAGTTCAAGACCCGAGTGCCTCGTGACAGAGTGAGCTCCCGTCTCTGGTCCCAGCTCTTGCCAACCTAGCAGTTCAAAAGCCAAGAAATTGCAAGTAGATAAATAGGTACCACTTCAGTGGGAAGGGAACAGCATTCCGTGCACCTCGGCGTCTAGTCATGCTGGCCACATGACCACGGAAAAGTCTTTGGACAGTGGTGGCCTTTCAGCTTGGAAATGGAGATGAGCACCGCATCCCTAGAGTCGGATTCGACTGGCTTTCGAACAAGGGAAACCTTTACCTTTACCTTTACTTTAAGCCCTACAGATGGGCTTTTTCCGCAGCCCGTTTTGAGGCACTTCCTTCCGCTGCACTGCAAGGTAAATTCGCTCACGTTCCAGTGCATGAATGTATATGCCCACGCATGGCTGGTAGGGTGGAATCAGTTCCTCATATTCTCCTGTTCTGTAAATTACTTCAAGAAGAACGAAATCACCTTATATTACTTCTTTTGTCCAGATTTAACCCTCTGCAATTCTAGCTTGACTTCAAGCCAGAAGTTCTTTTGGAAGATACTCAGAGTTCAGTGACTTAAGTGGTGGTGACATTTTGTTTCTTAGCTATTAGGAAGCATAAGCTTATTTTAGCTGGGGGGGGGACCTGTATGATTCCCCCCCCTCTTTTTTAATTTCTACTATCATCCTACCAATTTTACTAATCCTTTTTTGCTGATGGTTTTATATCATCACTATGTTATTATTGTTCTAACCTCCTTTAGCCAGTTTGGTGTAGTGGTGGAGTGCGCGGACTCTAATCTGGGAGAACCGGGTTTGATTCCCCACTCCTCCACTCGCACCTGGCTGGATGACCTTGGGCAAGCCATAGTTCTCTCAGA